GAATCGAACTTGGGTAGATGGCATTCAAGGCAAACGCCCTACCCGCTGTGCTATCGCTCCAGCCCCTGTCTCCGGTTCTTAAATGATCATCTGGCTGGAGACACCCAGGTGAGTGGGGAGCTCATGCAGCTGAAGACGCAGCGCAGTGGTTAAGATGCTTGTTCTGCACACCCCTAGCACCGCATATGGTCCCCTGAACACTGCCGGGAGTGCAGAGGTCTGAGCCCTGCTGGGTGTGGCCTAAAAACTGAAGAGAGGGCGGGAAAGGAGGAGGGCAGGGAGACTAGGAGGGTGAGGGGCCTTACCTCGCACACAGCCAAGCTGGGCTCAGTCCCTGACACCCCAACCCCCCCCTTATCACTGGACCAGCAGTAAGCCATGATCACCTCCAGATGTGGCTCAAAAATATTTTTTTTTTAATGGAAAGCTCATACTTTCTCCTAGATGTACACACAATGGAATCCGTCCAGGTTCCTCAGTGGCGCCCCAGGAATGGCCACAGCCCCTAACCAAACACTGACCAACTGTCCAGTGGCAGAAGGGAAGGGGAGAGGAGGTAGGTTTGGACAAAGGGCCCCATTCAGCCTTGAGGATGAGCCAGCGAGCTGCACACACGTGACGAATGAGCCTCTCCAGGGAGAGGCCCGGCTCCAGCCGCGCATGCGCTGGGATTCCTCTGACGTCAGGCAGACGGATGCAGGGGCCGGGATTGGGGGCGCTGGGCAGGAGGCCCCAGGCTGGACTGGGGACTGAGCGTCCTGTGTGTGAGCTGGCGCTCCGGACACAAGCACATGAGCTCTGTGCAAATTCCTCAAGCTTACTATAGTTCATGCTGTTTTTCCATAGGCACATTATTCTTTTTTGGAAATTTTTATTTTATTTTAGCTTTGAGGCGAGGCGGTACCCGGTATGGGTGAAACTAAAAAAAAAAAATGCTGTGATTTAGTTATTACCAGATGTACAGAGAGATTTTTTTCACTTCAATCTATGCTTCTCTGTGAAATGGCTTAAGTATGAATAAATCTAGATCATATTACATGCACATATTTTTATTTAATAAGCAAAAAATACAATTTAAAACTGGGGCCAGGCCCAGAGTGATAGTACAGCAAGTAGAGCACTTGCCTTGCATGTGAAAGACCTGGGTTCGATCACCAGCATCCCATATGGTCCCTTGACCACCTCCAGGAGTTATTCCCAAGGGCAGAGCCGGGAGTAACCCCTGAGCATTGCTGGGTGTGGCCCCAAAACCAAAAATAAATTAAATCAAAACTGGAGCCAGAAAAATAGTATGAGGATTATGGCACTTGCCTTGTACAAAACCAACCCAGTTCTATCCCAGAACCCCCAGGGGGGACCCCTGACTACAGATCCAGGAGTAAACTCTCAGATGTGACCCAAAAACCAAAACTAGAAACATATTTTTGTTGGTTTGGGGGCCACCCCAGCAGCGCTCAGGGGGTACTCCTGGCCCTGTACCCAAAAATTGTTCCTGGTGCTGCTCAAGGGACCATATGGGAAGCCGGGGATCAAACATGGGTCGGCCACGGGCAAGGCAAGTGCCCTCCCTGCTGTACTATCACTCCGGGCCCCCAAAACAGATCTTGGCGCCATCTTCCAGCCTTGGAATTTACTACTATTATTGGCTTGTTTTGCCATGCTGGGGGGTTGGCCCAGGGCCTCATATGTGCTATTTGAGGACTATCTGGACTAACCCCCGACCCCAGACTCAAATTTCTTAGATGGATGTTTAAAGGTGGTGCCTAGGGGCTGGAGTGATAGTACAGCGGGTACAGCATTTGCTTTGCACCCAGCCGACCCGGGTTCGATTCCCAGCATCCCATGTGGTCCCCCGAGCACCGCCAGGAGTAATTCCTGAATGCAAACCCAGGAGTAACCCCTGTGCATCGCCAGGTGTGACCCAAAAAGCAAAAAAATAAGTAAATAAATAAATGAAAATAAAGGTGGCGCCTGGCTCGGCCTTGATTTAGCCAAGCTGAGCAGTCCCACCCCCCTGCAAGAACCACAACCACCAGCTCTGACTCCCCCTCAGGGACAAGGGCCCCACAGCACCCGGCCCCGAGCCACAGCACGTCCTTTGCTTCATCTGCACTTAACAGGCCAGTTCCCAGAAGCTGAAGCAAATCAGTAAGAGCATACTCAAAATGCTGATGACTCCGGTCCAAGGGGTATATGTGTGTGTGTGTGTGTATGCATAATGTGTGAACGCACATGTGTAGTATGTGAGGGCATGTATGTATGGCTCTATGCGTGTATATGTGAGTGGTTGTATGTGCACGCATGTGACTACATATGTGTGTGCATGTATGTCTGTGCCTGGATGTGCATATGTGTACGCATGTAGTTTTTGAGGGGACACTGTACCCGGTATGAGTGAAACTGCTGGGTGTGGCCTAAAAACTGAATGGGTGTGCATGTGTGTGATTGTGCATGTATGTGAATGCACATGTATGTGTCTGCACGTGTGTGTGCATGTGTGTGTGAATTCGTGTGTACGTAACTATGCGTGTGCATGTACGTGTGTGTATGTATGAGTGTATGAGTGTGACAGTATGTGCGTGTGTGTGCCTGTGTGCAAGGGTGGGTAGAGACAGTTGCTTCTCACAGTACTCAGGGATCAAGCCCTGACTTCTCGCATGCATCGAGTCCTCCACTTGGTTGAGCCCCCTCCCCAACCTGGGGCCCCTATTTTTGAACCAGGAATGGATTATTTGGACATGGAAGAAATAATCCCAGGTGGGGGCTGGAGAGATAGCATAGTGGGTAAGGTGCTTGCCTTGCACGCGGCCAACCCAGGTTCGATTCCCAGCATCCCATATGGTCCCCTGAGCACCGCCAGGAGTAACTCCTGAGTCCAGAGCCAGGAGTAACCCCTGCCGGATGTGACCCCCCTCAAAAGAAAAGAAAAAGAAAGAATCCCAGTGTTTTCCTTTTTCCTGCATCCTCAACAATAAGATACTGGGGTGAAAGCACATCTGGGGTTGCTCAGGGCTTAGTCCTGGCTCTGCATTCAGGCATCAGTCCTGCCGGGCTCGGGACTGGACCCAGGAGGGCTATGTGCAAGGAAGGGCCTCCCGCCCAACTGCTGCCCCGTCCCGCAATGAGCAACTGAAAAGAGGGAAGGGTAAAAACATCCTGATAAACATCTTCAAAGCAGGAAAAAAGGACATTGAAGAATTTTTTAAAGGTGATTATAAAACACTTTTTCTTTCAAAATATTTATTTCAAGTAGAAACTGACATAATATACTATATACAGGAAGACAACATATAGGATCCTTAAGTAAAAATACAGTATTTGATCATAACAACAAAAAAAATTCTAAATAATTTGACATTAGACCCTGTGAAAACTTTTATTCTATTCAAGTAACAAGCACAAAACAGGCCCAATTCTGAGTTAAATCTCTTCTTCCTATAAATTTACACAAACACGTACGAGATAATCATATGTACTTTAATCCAGGTAAAGGTAAAGGCCCTCCCGTTGATCGTCGATTTGCTCGAGCGGGCCCAGTAACGTCTCCATTGGAGACTTTGTTGTTACTGTGTCTGGCATATTACCTTTACCTTTTACTTTAATCCAGAATTGTCCTAAAAGCGGGCTCCTTCACATAGCCCTTTAGCCATTTCCTGTTCCTGTTAATTCTGACAGAAATTATTCAGTATCTTGTTTATTTGGGGTGCAGGCGGGTTGCACCTCAGGATTGGAACCAGGGTCAGCCACAAGCAAGGCAACTGCCTTCCTTTCTGTACTATCTTGAGGGTTCTTGTTTGTTCTTTTTTTTTTGGGGGGAGGGGGGAATAAGGAGGGTCAGTACTCAGGGGACCTTATGCATTGCCAGGGATCAATCCAGGGTCAGTCACATGCAGGGAAAGAGCCTTAACCCCTGTCATATCACTCTGGCCCCATTATTAGTTCAATTTTGGGGGAGGGAGGGTCAGGCCATACCCAACAATGCTCAGGGAACCATATGAGGTGCCAGGGATCGAACCTAGATCAACCACATGCAAAGCAAGCACCCTACCCATTGTACTATAGCTCCGACTCTTATTTCATTTTTATTTATTTTTTGCTTTTTTTTTGGGGACGGGGAGGTCACACCCAGTGATGCTCAGGGGTTCCTTCTGGCTCTGCACTCAGGAGTTACTCCTGGCAGTACTGGGGGGGGGGGGGTGTTATGTATGAGATGTCAGGAATTGAATCTGGGTCAGCCACGTGCAAGGCAAATCCCCTACCTGCTCTACTACTGCTCCAGCCCCCTTATTTTATTTTCAGAACTAAAATTTCTTTCCAGGTTGCCCCTCAGGTCATTTTTTGGTGGTTGGTCTACACCTGGCAGTGCTCAGGGTTCACTCCTGGCTCTGTGCTCAGTGATGACCCTGTCAGCTCAGCAGCCCTCCGCTTGAAGCTGTTTCTCTGGCCCCATCCCGGAGTCATGGATAAGACTTTTAAATCACTTCTTCACCAAAGCAGAGAGAGAAAGGACTGCAGGTGGAGCAGGACCCAGCGCTTCCCGATTACAGTCCCCAGAACGTGAATCTTCTCTGGGCTCTGGAATCCTTCTCAATGTATTTGCCCCGAATCGGAACCAGGATGAAGGAGAAGGAAAAGCTTCTTTCTCTCTTTTTTTCCCTGCCCAGGATCAGGCCTCAGGCTGCTGCTGCCCCACTCAGCCAGGGCCGGGCCTCAAGGCTGACTGTCTGCCCAGAGCAGAGAGGCGGCCCCCAGAACAGCCAGCACTGCCTGAAGAAGGCCACGTGTCCGCCCCCGCTGTCCCCAGGGTGCCTGTGATGTAGGTCTGGCAGGGAGAGGGACCACATCATCCTGATGAGGAACCCTCGGGGGCTCCCTGGAGAAGGGGCCCGATCCCCTCAAGCCTTGGGGGCCCCTGACACAGGAGCTCGGCCCTCCTGGTTCCTTTCTCCTCCTGCTCCTGGTCCTCCTCTTCCTCTTCCTCCTCTTCCTCCTCGTCGGACTCATCATTGTAGAAGTGAATGGTGGCTTGCACCGGGAAGCTGGCCAGCACTTTTTCCCCCGAACTCTGCAGATACTCTTGACGCTTCGAGATGGGCAAATAGAGTCTAACATGTAGGAAACAAGTCAGTCACGAAGCCTCTGGGAAATGGGCCGAAGCGCCTTTTCCCTAGAGGAAGCTGCTCCTGTGCCTCCCTCTGGCCTGGGCACCCAGGGTGCTCATTTGTCATAAGCCAGGAACCACCCATGGAGACCCCTGGTTCTTTGTGTGTGTGTGGGGGGGGGGTGTTCTCCCAGGCTCGTGGGGAGATGTTTGGAACCACACACAGCAGTGCTCGAGGCTTTCTCCTGGCTCAGTGCTCAGGGCTCGCTCCTGGTGCCCAGGGGGCCATGCTCAATGAACTCTGGGAGGTGCTCTGGCTTGAATTGGGGTTGGTGGAGTGCAAGGAAAAATCCTAAACCCCGTCCTGGCTCTCCAGCCCTGAGACCTTGTTCTGAACGCTGATCTGGGTGGGGCAAAGGGCTCCAATCTGAGGGAGCCATTTGAAAGCACTCGGCAAGGAGAGTGGCTACGTGGAAGCGAAAAGCAATTTAAACACGGGGGATCCCAAGATGAAAGCCTTCCTCTCTGATCAAGGGGGAATGTAACTGATGCGTGAATAAACGCAGGGTGGTCAGCTCCCCCTAAGCCCCCAATCAAACGCTCCTCCGCCTCCCAGAACCCCCCAGGTATGAGGGTGGTGGGATCTTTTGCAAACCTGACCCTGAAACTCAGGTTTAAAGAAGCACTGAGCTTTTCTGGATGTTTCCACATAAAAAATCTGGAGAAAAGGAGAACTGTGGGGGGGAGGGTCCCTTGTTTTCACCAAAAAGAAAATGGAGTCTCTGGATTTTGGCCTAGTCATGCTTGGAAAAAAGCAGAAAATGTCTATAAAAATTGGGACCTCTGGTGGCGATGCTCAGTGAAGCCAGCCAGGAAGTGGAAAATAATTTCTCCCATCAGTGGGCCAGGAATCGGGAAAGCAAATAAGGGCTAAGCCCTTGCCTGGAACCCAAGAGGAGTCCCCGAACACCGTTTTGGTTGCTCCTGAGCACAGAGTCAGGAGTAAAGCTCTGACCAGAGCCAGGTATGGCCCCCAAACCAGTAAATAAGTGAAAAACAAAAGACAACCAAAAAGGAGCAAAACAAAGCACCAGCAGAATGACAGGCCATACAGACAGCTCTCCCCTGGGCCTCAGTTGCTCAATGCCTTTTTTTTTTTTTTTGAGGGGGAGTTGGTGTGTGGATGGAACTTGGGACCTCACACAGGGGCCGGAGCTCCTCCTCTGAGCCAGCCCAGTCCCAATGTTCCCATCTTTTCTGTTTTGTTTTGGGGCCACATCCACCCAGCAGTGCTCAGGGTTGACTCCCACTCTGATTTCAGGGGTCACTCCTGGCGGTGCTCTGGGGACCATATGGGGTGCTGGGGATAGAACCCAGGTCAGCCATGCACAAGGCCAGTGCCCTCTGCACCCATCACCCCATTTTCATCTTTCACAGGTCCGTTTTGTACCAAACTTTATATTAACTTACGACCCAGGAGAAGAGTAGAAATGTACCTAATTAAAACCAAATCGTTAAATGCACCAAAAAAACTACGTGGCTGACAACAGTCACCAATCAGATAGGATCTACAACCTATATGCAGCTGAACATCAGCATAAGGTATGCCGTGTAATGTGAGATGTAAATGAAAGGTCTGGTGAGGGGCCAGGGAAATAGTTCAGGGGTTAGAGCGCCTGATTCTGGTTCAATCCCTGGCATCATGTGGTCTCTGGGTATCGCTGGGGGACCCTTCAGGGTTCCCAGCACTGTAGGGTCTGAGCGGCACCAAATCCTCAGGTCCTTGCATTGAACTAAAGATCTAGTTAGCTGAAAATCACAGGAAGTGATTTCTGGGCCCCCTGAGCACAATGTCGAAGTGCCCCCACCACACCCAAAAGAGGTATAAAGAAAAGAAAGAGGGGCCAGAGCAACAGCACAGCAGGTAAGACGCTTGCCTTGCACACAACCGACCTGGGTTTGAGTTCCGGAATCCCATATCGTCCCCTGAGCACCACCAGGAGTGATTCCTGAGCACAGAGTCAGGAGTAACCCCTGAGCATCACCTTGGGTGTGTCCCCTCCCTCAAAAAGAGATAGAGGCCAATTCTGAATGTTTAGCTGAAACAATGAATGAATGAATTCCAGAAACCCAACTAAATCTCCTTGCAGTTCCTCAGGAAAGGAAATAGAATCAAAGACTGTTCGGGAAAGCTGTCTAACACAGGAGAAGCCCGTGACTGCACAGTGTTTATTCCAAGGGTGAGTGACTTACCCTGAAGCTGCCTCTTACCTTACAGGATGCTGAAACCCAAAGGCCCCCGGAGATCCCCAAGTCCGTTGGTCACCCCCAGGTTCGAGCTGTAAAGACAAACAGACATGGGTCCAAGCGCCTCGAAAGGCAGTTTCTTGGAGTTTCAAAAAAATAAGCTCTCCATCATCTGTGGAGGGCAGCATCAGCACTGGTTTCATTTTCATTTTCATTTTTCATTTCATCCTGTTATTCATCGATTGCCTCGAGCAGGCCCCAGTAACGTCTCTTTCATCCTAACCCTGAGATTATATTCAAGGCTCTTTAGGAGAATGAGACCCATCATTGTTACTGGTATTTGGCATATTTGGTACGCCACGGGGAGTTTGCCAGACTCTGCCCTGTGGGCAGGCTACATTCGATAGCCTGCAAGTTTGTCCAAAGTAGGAATGAGATGATATGTCATAAAAGATGTCCTGATAAGATGTCCGGTTCCGGGAGCTGGATTTTATAGTCTCTGAGTCTTGGCTGTTGATGGGATTACACGGCGCCAGGGGGTCAGGTGGTGGGTGTGACCCCCACCTACTGGAATTTGGAGGATCTGGGTGGAGGATGCTCGACTCCAATCCGAATAGGCTGGGAGATCTCAACCCCAGGACCCACGTGGATTTGCCCCTCTGCCAGTACCTTCAGGTGTGCGGAGAGTGGTCTCAGCATGGTGGTGGCTGGTCCTGGAGGTCTTCGGCTGCCGGAGCCCTAGTCGGGGCGGGGAGGAAAGCTCAACCCGCTCCCCTCCAACGGGCCCGGAGAGGAACAGCCAGGCGCGAGAGGAACAGCCAGGTGCGGGGGCAGACTGCACTGTTCTCGTCCGGGAGCTGGATTTTACAGTCTCTGAGTCTTGGCCGTTGGCACTGGTTTATTTTACTTTATTTTTGGCAGAGCGAGATAGTTTTTGTTTTGTTTTGTTTGCTTTTTTGGGGTCACACCTGGTGATGCACAGGGGTTACTCCTGGCTCATGCACTCAGGAATTACTCCTGGCGGTGCTCGGGGAACCCTATGGGATGCTGGGAATCTATCGAACCTGGGGCGTTAGCAGAGCGAGTAGGGTGTTTGCTTGCACGTGGCCAACCCAGGTTCAATGTCTGACTTCCCATATGGTCCCCCAACACCGTCAGGGGTAATTCCTACGTGCAGAGTTCAAGAGTAACTCCAGGTGTAGCCCAAAACCCAGGGGAAGTAAAAACATAAAATGAGGATTTTTTTTTCTTTTTGGATTACACCCAACAATGCCCAGGGGTTGCTCCTGGCTCTGCACTCAGGAATGACTCCTGGTAGTGCTTGGGGGACCATATGGGATGCCGGGATCAAACCTGGATTGGCCACGCGCAAGCAAATGCCCTCCCTGCTGTACCATCGCTTGAGCCCCAACACGAGGACTTACTGTAGAGATTTTGGAAGCCAACAGTCCAACCTGTTGTTTTATTGTTGGTGGTGGCTTTTTGAGGGGGAGGAAGACAATTCCTGGCTGTGCTCAGGGCTTACTCCTGGCTCTGTGCTCAGCAAACACTCCTGAAGGAGTCTGAGAGATCATGTGGGGTGCCGGAGATTGAACCCAAGTTGGATGTAAGCTAGGCAGCACCCTACCCGCTGTGCTGTCTCCCTGCCCCATTTTTCAGTACATTGCCTAGAAAGAGGTGAATGAGGGGCTGGAGCAATAGCACAGCAAGTAGGGTGTTTGCCTTGCACATGGCCGACCCAGGTTCGATTCCCAGCATCCCATATGGTCCCCCGAGCACCGCCAGGAGTGATTCCTGAGTGTGTGAACCAGGAGTAACTCCTGTGCATAGCCAGATGTGACCCAAAAAAGCAAAAAAAAAAAAAGAAAAAAAGAGGTGAATGAACTCTGGGTCTAGAGAGATAATAGCGGTCTGAGCCCCAAAATGGAAGGCATCAGGCAAGGCAAGACAGATGTGGGACCCAGTCAGGCCTGTGTGTGCTTGTATAGCCAGCACGAGTGTTGGACGGGGACAGGACTCAGGGGCAAACACTGCCTGTCTGGGGAGGACCCCACCTGCCCCAGATTCTGGAGCCTGAACCTCAATAGGGAAGCGCCCATGTGAGGCCAGGGCCAAGAACCAGGAAGCTGGAGCTTCAGTGGGGAGTGGGGGGGTCTTGGGATGGACATCCAGGAAGACTCACGAGGGAGCTGAAATAGGTCGGGGTGATTTATCTGAGCCCTTGAGCCCCGGGGTTCAGGTCAGGAATGAGACCAACGTGGCAGTGCAGGAGGAGGGTGGAGGGTTCCAAGAACTTTACTACAGGGGGGTTTGGGGTGTGTGGGATCCCAGACAGCCAACAGCTGATATTTCACTTCTGCCTTTTTCAGGGAGCTCCCAAACAGTGCTCAGGGGCATATGTGTGTGTGGGGGGGGAGGGGGACTCCCAATGATAAAGGAACTGCCAGGCCAGACAGCTCAGTCCCCCAGGGCCATTTCCAGGGTGCTGGGGGTGGCAGGAGACGTGAAGTACTGGGCCTCAAACTGCTCCTGACTGCTAAGCAATGCCCCAGGCTGCTCCAGCCCTATTTTTACAAATCACTTTGGGGTACTAAGACAGGAGAATGAGGATCTCTGGAACAATTTTTCTTTGTTCGTTTGGGAGCAATACCCCACAGTGCTAGGCCTATGCCTCTCTCTGTGCTCAGGAATCACTATTGGCCAGAACAAAATCTTTTCCCTGATGAATTTTGCTCATTGGGAGTTCCCGGAAGTCCCCTCTGCTTAAGTACATTTGTCATTTGATCACGGATCACTGGTTAAGGGCTCACTTGGCCACACTAAGCAAACTTGATGCTAGCAGCCACGAAAGGAGAAGCTGCCTAGAAAAACCAGCTTCCTCAAAGCCTTCAGTCTTCAGCACTTCAGAAGTTTTGACAATGTTCCTTTGACAAGATTAAATGGTTTTAAAGCATACCTTAGCTTTAAAACCATTTAAATGGGGGCTGGAGCGATAGCACAGCAGGGAGGGCGTTTACCTAGCACACGCGAACCCAGATTCAATTCCAAGCATCCCATAGGATTCCCTGAGCACCGCCAGGAGTAATTCCTGAGTGCAGAGCCAGGAGTAATCCCTGAGCATCGCTGGGTGTGACCCAAAGAGAAAAAAAAAAATCAAAACACCATTTAAGTGAAGTGGGACAAAAGACAGGAGCAGTGTGGAAAGAAGCCCAAGGGGCACAGGATGGTGTTTCCTGCCCCAGCACAGCTCCAGAAGTGCATCCCCCCAAAAGGGGGGCTTTGTTACAAAACATCTTAATACGTATCTTTTTCAGGAGCCCAGGAGATAGTACACAGGTTAGTGTGTTTGCCTTGCATGTGGTCAAGCCTTGTTCAGTCCCCTAAGCATCATTAGGAGTGATCCCTGAGCACTCAGGAATCACTAAAGGATCTCAGTTAGGGGCCCTTCCCCTCACCCCCAAATTCTTCTCTGATAAGGGAAATGACTCACAACTCAAGCTTTGATAATCCAAGGGGGGAAAGAAATGTAGATTTCAGCACTCTGTGTGTATTTCACCTGTGGACTATTCCTTGAAAGAAGGAGCAGATACAAGCAGAGTTATCCTGAGCTGGAGAGATAATACAGCACATAAGGGGTTTGCCTTGCATGTGGCTGACCCAGGTTTGATTCCTAGCATCCCATATGGTCCCCTGGGCCCCTGCCGGGAGTGATCCCTGAGCACAGAGCCAAAGTAAGTCCTAAGCACCACTGGGTATCCTAAAAACCCAAAGCAAACCAACCAGCAGAGATTTCCACACAGGCTTTACTTCCTGCACATGGCAGCCTCTGACCCTGAGGTATGCGGAGTCTGCAAGCAGGGAGGTCTGACCAAAGAACATAATTCTGACATCGTTCAGGGGAACTCAGGCGTCAGTGCAAAGTAGAGAGGGAAATGCAGCCGCAGTAAGCAAGAGCTTATCTCGGGCTTCTTAACTGCCGCCAAAGAAGACAGTTCCCAAAGGCTGTGGAAGACACCAAGACAGGGACCAGAGAGATAGTGCAGTGTTTTGCACATGCCTGACCTGGGTCCGCCGTCAGTACCTCATATGAAATATCACATGAAAAATTTAAAAAAAGACTCCAAGACAGTGAAGGTGATGCTCAGGACACAGGGCTTGAGTTCGTCCCTCCATTTAAATTTTATTCTAATTTTGACCCCGTTGGTTGCAGTCCCAGCATAGTTAACCTTCCTAAGCTGCATGCAGTTGAAATTGCCACAGAAATTCACACGGGGGCTCAATTCCTCCGCAGTTCAGGAATTGCCTCACTCTGTCGGCAGAGGGCGCCGGAGAGCAAGAAACGCTCCCAGTCCGGAGGGGCTGCGCGCCACCTTTGGAGGGTCCCGCTCCAGGGTCCCACGCAAGGACCGCGGTCACCCGGGAGTTCTGGCTCTGCAAAGCGCCGGTCCCGGGGCAACGGGCCATAGAGCTTCCTTCCTCCCAAGGACCATAGCGCCCCAACTCAAAGAAAAGCCAGAGATGAAACTACCTCCTGGCGTGGTGTGTGCTAAGTGACAGTAAACCGGACAGATGCTACGGCCCAGCGTGTTTCTGCAAGGGTCCCTTTCTTTGCAAACAGCAGATCAGGAAAACTAATACCAAACCAAAGCAAAACACACTTCCCTCCCATTAGGAAGGACAGTTTCAATTATAGTTCAAACACTACTGGTTTCAATTCTGCAACTAAGAGGCATGATTCATCTGTTTCATTAAGAAAAAATAGGGGTGGGGGCTGGAGCAATAGCACAGCAGGAAGGGCGTTTGTTTTCCTTCCACGCAGCTGACCCGGGGTTCAGTTCCCAGCATCCCATATGGTCCCCTGAGCACCGCCAGGAGTAATTCCTGAGTGCAGAGCCAGGAGTAACCCCTGTGCATTGCCGGGTGTGACCCAAAAAACCAAAAAAAAAAAAAAAAAAAAAAGAAAAGAAAGAAAAAATAGGGAAGCAGATAGCACAGAGGGTAGGGTGTATGCCACGCACGGGTTTGATCTCAGCATCCCATTTGGTTCCTCGAGCCCTCCAGGAATGATTCCTGAGCACAGAGCCTGGAGTAATCCCTGAGCTACACTAGGTGTGGCTACACTTAGGTATTTATAAACTATGTGCACTCTCTCTTCCACTTCGTTTTGGTTTTGGGCCACACCTGCTAGTGACCAGGGCTAACTCCTGGCTCTGTGCTCAGGGATCAAGGATCACTCCTGGCTGGGCTCAGGGACCCAGAGGTGATGCCTGGGATCAAACCTAGATTGGCCATGTGTAAGGCAAGTGCTATAACCACTGTTCTCTTTCCCCAGCCCCTATTGTTTTCAATCTTGTGTTTGAGAACTGAAATCTGGGCAGAGAAGATAGTTCAATGGGAAGTGGTGCCTGCTTTGCATGGGGGGCCCTGGGTTCAATCCCTGGCACTGCATGATTGTCCAGTCCCAAGAAAGACTTATCTTTTGGGGCTGGAGTGGTAGTACAGTGTGGAGGGCTTTTGACTTGCACAGGCCAACCAGGGTTTGATCTCTGGCATCCCATATCCCATATGGTCCTCTATACACTGCCAAGAGAAGAAGAAGAAGAAGAAGAAGAAGAAGAAGAAGAAGAAGAAGAAGAAGAAGAAGAAGAAGAAGAAGAAGAAGAAGAGAAAGAAAGAAAAAGACTTATCTTTTATTATGTAGACATTAACATAAGAGTAATTTGAGAGAACTGCCGGGACCATCCCGGCTCCCAGGTAACCTCTGATTCCGGAAGTCATGCCCACAGCCCGCCCCCCAGCGCCATCTTTACAGCACACAGCCGCAGAGAAGGGCCACATGGAGGGCTGGCTCCACAGCTCCCGGAGAAGAAACCAGGTTCCAGAAAGAGCCGAGATCACCGGGAAGTCCCAGATGGGGTAGGTGCCGCATCCCGCCTCCCCCAGATGGAACCCCGGTGACCAGAAGCCTCTACAAGAACAGCTCGAGTATGCGGGAACTAGGACTTTTCCTCCAAACCGACATCTCCGTATATACAAAGTGATCAATGGGAAGTAAATCACCCAACGTTTCTCCCTGAAAATCAGAGTTAAGCTTGGAACAGAAAAGTGAACGGACTATGCGTTAATCCAGGCCATCATGTCTGCCCGGAGGGGAAAGGATGTTGCCCCATTCGCCCTCTCCTCTCTGAAAAGAAAGATGGCGGCTGCATGGGAGCCTTGTGGACAGCAGGTATGAGCCGGGGGCATGGGGGCGACTAAAACCTCATGGGAAGGGGGGCGTTCCGGTCCGTTCTTCACACCCTACCGAGGTCACCAGTTGCCCCCCACGAGCGGCTCTCTGGCATGGCCACAGCCCCAGAAGCACAAGGACTTAATGCAGAACCCAGCAGCTTGGAGCAGAAAAGTAAACGGACTATGCGTTAATCCAGGCCATCATGTCTGCCCGGAGGGGAAAGGGTGTTGCCCCATTCGCTCTCTCCTCTCTGGAAAGAAAGATGGTGGCCGCATGGGAGCCTTGTGGACAGCAGGTATGAGCCGGGGGTGTGGGGGCGACTAAAACCTCATGGGAAGGGGGGCGTTTTGGTCCGCCCTTCACGCCCTACTGAGGTCACCAGTTGCCCCCCACAAGCGGCTCTCTGGCACGGCCACAACTCCAGAGCACAGAAACCAATCTCTTAATTATCTGACTTTCAGTAGAAATACTTCCAGGGTTAATAAGAAAAATAGTGGAAATCTAAAACCAACATTTAATTCTTGAACCCAGCTGTAGAAAGCAAATCATTTCACAATGCTTTTTCAGCATGTCTGATTTGGGGGGGGCGGTAAACTCTAAATAATAGTGGTGCATCTGTTATTGAAACAATGAATCTAATCAAAGCAGATAGAGTGTTAACTAGAATTCATCTGCCTCACAGGGACTGGGAGGGGTGAGGGGTGGGGTTTTATTGGGGTTCTTCGTGGTAAAAAATAAGTATTGGTAAAGGGAAATGTGTTTGATATTTGCATGACTGAGACCTAAATCTGAAAGCTTTGTAACTTTTCCCACAGTGGTTCAATAAATAAATTAATTAATTTAAAAAAAAAGAATAATTTGAGGGGCTGGAGCGATAGTACAGCCCGTAGGGTGTGTTTGCCTTCCATGCGGCCAACCTGGGTTGGCTCAGCATCCTATATAGTTCCCCAAGCACTGCCAGGAGTAGTTCCTGAGTGCAGAGCCAGGAGTAACCACTGAGCATCGCTGGGTGTGACCCCCCCAAAATAATAATAATAATTTGAGCTGGGCCGAGCCATAGTACAACAGATAAGGCCTTGCCTTACATGTGGCCAACCCAGGTTCGATCTCTGACATCCCATATGGTCCCCCAAAACTGGAGAGATCTCTGAGTGCAGAGCACAGGAGTAACCCAAGGGCCCCGAATCAAATGAAGAGAGTAATTTGAGCTAAAGAAATCATACCCTTCATTAGTTTTACGTAGCTTTTATTTGCTTCACTCCTTAAAACAGTACCTGAATGAAATCTCCCATTTTCTAGGCAATTCAATAAAGCAGCCGCACCTGAGCTTCTCAGCTTGCAGATAAGGCACTTCACAGGCCACGTGTGTTATGTAAATTAAATACTTGGTTCTTTCCAGGGGCACCGACTGCACAGCCAGGTAAAAGTCACCCATTTATATTCCCAAATGTAACAAAGCAAGTCATTCCTTCAATCAGTATAAAGCAATTTAGTTACCAAACCAGGAAACAAAAGAACAGAGGGGAGATTAATCTTCCCCTGCAAAGCCCTGGCTGGAGTGTTTGCTCAGACAACAGTCGCCCAGCGTGCCTGCAGGCTGGATGCAAGTGCCTGAGAGCCGCCAGACGGCTGGGCAGCCCAGCCTCTCACCCCTCCTGGGGCACCCAGACGGGGGTCTCGCTTCTTATTTGCTCTGTGGCACCAGCTCCCCGCTAATGCACAGGGGGCTGACGGGTGGGGGAGTTGACCTAGCCTCTGCCTTCTGCCTCCCTGCTGGGTTGCAGAAGGGAAAAATCTCCCGCGCAGGAATCTCTTAGAATGCCCAGGAAACAGCTGGCCAAGACTGGCTTTGTTCCCAAGGAGGACCGAGTCTCCAAGGCGCAGAGCGCTGGCCCTGGCCCCGGCCAGCAGCCCCTGTTCACCACACAGCAAAGCAGAACCAGCGAGGTAGAATGGACGGAAGCTGCTTCCCTTGCGGGCAACGGTGCCGGGTTTGAAACCTGGCGCCCTGCGTAGTATCCCTGAGCCCCGCCAGGAGTGACCCCTAAGCACAGAGCCTGAAGTAAGTCCTGAGCAATTCCCACGGGGTGTGATTCCCGACCCCCCAAAAGGAGCAAAGCCAAGCACGGGTGTTTGCTGGAGTCGTTCCTTTCCCGCTGAAGCCTCACCCAGCTAAGCCGGGTTGACCTTACCTGTCTCCCGGCGCTGCCCCGCTCAGCATCTTGGGGTGTCAGGATCCAAGGTCTCCAGGGCGCGGGGCTGGAAGGCAGGGGACCAGAGAGTGAAGCTCAGCCTTCCGTCCTGCACCCCCCACCCCGTATTCTCCCCTCAGCTGTCATCCCCACGCTAACGTCAGCCTGGAGAAGGCGCGGGAGGGCAGGGTCGGGGGTGCGGGTTCAGAGGCCGAGCGCGCGCGTGGCACTGTGATGCTCTGGATTCGATCCCCGGCACAGACACGGGACCCCTCCCCCTCAAGGCCGAGCCTGCAGTGGAGAAATGTCGGTTCACTGTTTGCTTTTACATGCTTCCCCAATTCTCCGCCTTCTCTGCAGGCGCGACAAGTGCCCTGTCGGGGACCCAACGCTCTCCCGGTGGGACTGAACTCTGGTTCCGATTCTCCAGCTGCGGGCGAGATAGTGGCCAGTTCACTCCAAGAGTACCAGCCCATAACTGCAAGATCTTGACCCAAAGGGATGATTTTACAGAAGTCTAAGATTTAAAAAAAATAAAAAAAGAAAGAGGGGCGGGGAGAGGGGAGTGGGATTCAGCTTCTCCATTCTGGCCGCCCGGCCCGGTCCACCCAACCCCCTGGTTCATTTCAGACGGGCTGGTGCTGGGAAAGAGACGCCAAGCCGCGTCTCGCGGCGGACACCCTGGGAACCAGAGCGGACCCCCGGCAGAAGCTGGTCTGGGGTCCCCGACGTCCACGTCCCCGGTCCGGGCGCGGGGGACCGCTCGGCGTCGCGATCCGGGCCGAGGTGTCCCGCGCGTCTCCCCGCGCGCCCCTCGGGGACTCCCTCACCTCTCGGGCCCGCGCGGCGGCGGCGGCGTTGGGGGGTCCCGGGCCGCGTCCCCCGGGTAGTGGCAGCCGCACGCGCGCGCCCCCGGGGGTCTCATGCTGCCGGCCGCGTCCCCGCGTCTCCTACCGCCCGCGCCGGGTTTAAAAACGGGCGCGGGGACGCGGGAAACCGGGGAGGGGACAAGGAAAGTAGCCGCGGGGCGCGCGGCGGTGGGGGCCGAGCCAGGCGCGGCCCAGGAGGGACTCGGGAAGCCGGGGTCGAGGGCGAGGGGCCGGGGGGACAAAGGAAACCCAGGAGGGGGCGCCGAGGGCGGGGCGGCGGGATGTGTCACGGGAAGTCCGGGGAGGGGGGCTGGTATTGTCCGGGATCGGGGTCAGGGGGTCAGCGGGGCGCACGACGGAGCCCCGGGAGAGAGGTGAGTGGCGCTCCGTGGCTCGGCGGTCTCCTGGCTTCAGATTTTTTCTTTTTCCTTTTTTTTTTTTTTCTGGGTCCTCAGACCTCGCCCTTGTGCCCAGGAGTCAGTCTGGGTCGGAGGGCTCGGGAGACCCTATGGAGTGCGGGTGATCAGCCCCAGTGGGTCCCACCCGCTGTCCTGTCGTTGCTCCGGGGTCTGTGTTCTGGCTATGAAGGTCCCCAGGTGTCCTGGGAATCGCGGGCGCGGGGTTTGGGGGAGCTGGCGCGGAACGCTGGGGACCCGCGGGGTGGGGTCAGAGAGAGGGGCCTCAGGGCGCTCTCCCACGATGGGGTCCTTGCAGGTAAGCGCCTTGCAGGTGAGCGCCCCCCAACCTCCAGACGCCAGCGACGCCTCTGGCCTCGAACGCGACCACTCCGGGTTCGAGTCCCAACACCTTGCGTGGTTTCCCGAGCCCCGCCGGGGGTGCCCTGAGCGCAGAGCAAAGATCCTCTTTTTTTTTTTTTTTTTTTTTTTTTTTTTTTTGCTTTTTGGGTCACACCCGCCCATGCACAGGGGTTACTCCTGGCTCTGCACTCAGGAATTACCCCTGGCAGTGCTCAGGGGCCCTTATGAGATGCTGGGAATCGAACCCGGGTTGGTCGCGTGCAAGGCAAACGCCCTATCCGCTGTGCTATTGCTCCAGCCCCCAAAGACCCTCTTTGACGAAACCGCACTCAGCCTCTTTGAAGTGGGGTTGCGGGCTGGAGAGATAGAACAGCTGTTAAGGCACTTACCTAGCATGTAGTAAACCGTGAGCACCGCCGGGTGTAACCCTGCAAATTAAGAACTTGGGATTGTGGGGGCCAAAAGAAAAAAGGAAAAGAAAAAGAAAAAAAAGAAATCGGAAAACTTCATGGGTGCGTGCCTTGATCCGCAGCTCCGCCAGGGGTCACCCCTGAGCACAGAGCAGGATGGACCAGAACCCGCCCTCCAGAAAATAAAGGGCCGGAGAGATGCTGGATGGGACCTCCTGGATGAATGACTCCCTGAGAAGCCCAGCCCCACGAAGACGGAGTCGCTGCCCTCCGCCTTAGTGGCTTTCCCTTTTTTTTTTTTTTTTTTGCTTTTTGGGTCACACCCTGCAATGCACAGGGGTTACTCCTGGCTCATGCACTCAGGAATTACTCCTGGCAATGCTTGGGGGACCATATGGGATGCTGGGAATGGACCCTTGGTCGGCCGCGTGCAAGGCAAACGCCCTACCCGCTGTGCTATCGCTCCAGCCCCAGTCGCTTTCCCTTCTTGCGGATGCTGAGACCCGGCAACGCCGCCCGGAACGCAGGCAGCGTCCTGCGCAGCAGTGGACATGCGCTCCCTATGACTGTCGCAGAGCCACGTTGCAACCTGGACAGGACAGCCCGCAGCACCGCCAGGAGAGACACAGCGCCCAATGGGACCCCTCTCCGGTCCTGGTACCCAGACTGCAATTAGGAAGGTTCCAAGTGGGGTTGGGGGCTGGAGAGAGAGTACAGCTGTGAAGGCACTTACTTTTCACGTAGCCAGCCCTGGTTCAATCTTGGTACCACATCTGGTCCCCTGAGCACCACCCTTTCATAAAAACAATGAAACTGAGCTGCACTAAATTCACAGAGACAGAAAACAGACGAACCTGTTTCTAAGGGTAGGGTGAAGGATTAGGGTTGGGGTTCTAACATATGAAGGGAATGAGAGAGGTACAAACTTCCAATTCAGAATAAATAAGTAAAAAACTTTGCACCCGGGAGTTCTAATCAGGAATAAGGCATCACATGATTGAACGCTGCCGCGATGGTGACAGACCCGCTGTGATGAACATTTTGGAATGTATCCAAACTTGGACTACTATTCTCTACACCTGTAATTAAAAGTGTGGTCAGCCACATGGGAGCCTTGTGGACAGCAGGTATGAGCTGGGGGTGGGGGCGCGACCACGTTCCAGCCCATCCTTCACGCCCTACCGAGGTCACCAGTTGCACCCCACGAGCGGCTCTCCGGCACAGCCACGGCCCCAGAAGCACAAGGACTTAATGCAAAAGTCAGCAGCTTGCAGCAGAAAAGTGAACAGACTATGCGTTAATCCAGGCCATCCGAGGTCACCAGTTGCCCCCACGAGCAGCTCTCCAGCACGGCCATGACTCCAGAGCACAGAAACCAATCTCTTAATTATCTGACTCTCAGTAGAAATACTTCCAGGGTTAATTAGCAAAATAGCAGAAATCCAAAACCACACGGCTGCGACATCATTTAATTCTTGAACCCAGCTGTAGAAAGCAAATCATTTCACAATGATTTGGGGGTGGGGGGTAAACTCGAGATAATAACGGTGCAACTTTTATCGAAACAATGAAGCTAGTCAAAGTAGATAGAGTGTTAACTAGAATTCATCTGCCTCACAGGCATTGGGCGGGGTGAGGGGTGGGGGTTTATTGGGGTTCTTCGTGGTGAAAAATAAGTATTGGTAAAGGGAAATGTGATTGATATTTGCATGACCGAGACCTAAACCTGAAAGCTTTGTAACTTTTCCCACAGCGATTCAATAAAAAAAAATGTGTGATCAATTACACTCAATCAATCAACAGATGGCGAATACACAAGAGCAGTCTAGTGTCTGTAGTAAGAGGATTATAACCCCCTGAGCCCTGCTTAGAACCAACAGCGCTGCACATTGGAGACCCAAACATCTTTATTTATTTTTTTTTTTGAGTCACACCCGGCAATGCACAGGGGTTACTCCTGTCCCTACACTCAGGAGTTACCCCTGGCGGTGCTCAGGGGACCATATGGGATGCTGGGTATCGAACCCGGGTCAGCTGCTTGCAAGGCAAATGCCCTATCCGCTGTGCTATTGCTCCAGCCCCGACCCAAACATCTTTAATAAAAGAAATTCACGTTAATTGAGAATAAAATGTTTTATTTATGTTCATCCTTTAGCTGGTAGAGGAAATAAAACAGTAATAGAAATATGCTGCTAAGGTTTTCCAAAGGCTTTTGCGTTAATCAATAAAAGTATTTTGAAGTAAAAACAAATTTCTGTGTAGAATTTTTAAGAAGGGGATGGAGGAAGAGAAAGAGAGCAACGAGCTCAAGAGAGAACTCAGGCTTCTGCAAAGGCGGAGCGAACCCCAGCACACAGCCCGGGGTTCAAGTACAAAGGTATGTGTCCATCTCGAGGGGCGATGCGGGCGACACATGTACTCAGGCACCACATGCGTTCGGCAGCAACATGTGTACTCGGGCAGCACACGCACCCCTGTATACAGTTTTGTTTGTTTTGGCGTCACATCTGATGATGCCCAGGGGTTACTCCTGGCTCTGCACTCAGGAATCCCTGCTGGCAGTGCTCTGGCATATGGGATGCCAGAAATCAGAACCTGGGTCGGCCGTGTTCAAGGCAGATGCCCTACCCACTGGACTATCTCTCTGGCCCCCCAGTATAAATATCTTCTCAGTAGACCTCATTCCCAGCAGTGGGGGAGGGGGGCAGATGAGGCATGTGGTTCTGGGGGTCAGATTCAGGGTCTTGGACATGCCCTAACGTGCTTGAGGGCTACTCCTTCCTAGGTGTGTGATCAGGGCTCACTTGCAGGGGGTTCCAGGGGGGGCCCTGTTTTGTCCGGGATCAAATTCGGTTCTCTCTGCAGATTATGTGCGCCATTTCTGTGAGCCATAGCCCTGGCCCTGCATATCAACTTCCCTGGACTCAAGGAAGGTTTTATGAGAGGAAGAAATCTGGGAAGGGGGTGTAGAAACCTTAGGAGATCGAGCCCCGTAACTGCGGAGGAGGAAACTGTCTCCCTCTTCGGCTGGTGACTCAGGACTTGCCCTGGGCAGGAGAGGAAGGTGCGAGGACATAGAAGTGAGATTCTGTTTCTCGCCTCCCTTTAATGAAAAATTCCCTTTATTCTGCTTAGAGACAGGGTAAGGATGTGACCCTGGAGGCTTCCGGCTTGCCTGGGAGGAGGGTTGTGGAGTCCAACATCTAAAAGGAGAGAATATTTTTGCATAAACAGGGCAGGGCAGCTGGAAGCGGCGTTTCCTTCCCTTCTGTTTGGGTTTCCTCTTATCAGTGCCGTGAAGAGCTCAGCCGCCCAGAAATCTGCTGGAGAAGCTGCGGATGTTGTGATTTGGTGTGACATTCTCTTGGGCTGCTAATGTTCTTTTCTAGATGACTTAACTGGGAGATTCCTCCCCGTCCCCCCCCTCCCCAGCCCCCAAAGTGTCTGTTCCTTGGAAACAAGATCTATATTCTACAATTTACAATTAATTCCTTTTTTGAGGCAACCCCTGGCAGTGCTCAGGGCTTACTCCCAGATCAACGTTCTGGGGTCACTCCCGGGGGGGTTCAGGGGACCATGAGCTAAAGATTAAATTGTGGCCTTTCAGAGCCAAAAAATTATGATACTTCCCAGTTCAATATCTGGCAGTACATAAACTCCCTCTGCACCCCAGCCCTGCTAGGAGATCCCTGAGTATAGTCAGGAGTAAGGAAGCCATGAGAGCTGCCAGATTTACCACAAAACCTCACCAAGAAAAAAAAGAAAGAGAGAGAAAAAGAAAGAAAGAAGCAGAGAGAAAGGGGAAAGAGAGAGAGGGGAAGAAGAGGAGAAAGAAAAAAGAAGGAAGGAAGGAAGGAAGGAAGGAAGGAAGGAAGGAGGAGAAAGAAG